TGCCCCCAGGTGTGCCCAGGTGCCCCACGCACCCACTGCTGGCCGTAGCTGTCCTGCAGCTCCTGCTCGTGCGCGTCCTCCCAGCGCGGCCGCAGCCCCAGCACCAGCAGCGGCCACCAGCCCTCCTGCGCCATGGCCACGAAATAGTCCGTGAACCCCGCGAAGGACTGGATCGCACCTGCACAGGTGAGGGATGGACAGGTGAGGGGTTACAACTGGGACAGGTGGGGATGGACAGGGGGGGATGGACACCAGCCCTCCTGCGCCATGGCCACGAAATAGTCCATGAAACCAGCAAACGGCTGGATCGCACCTGCACAGGTGAGGGATGGACAGGTGAGGGGTTACACCTGTGAAGGGTTAACACCTGCACAGGTGAGGGGTCACACCTGTGAGGGGTTACACCTGAACAGGTGGAGGGGTTACACCTGTGAGGGGTTACACCTGGGGGATGGACACCAGCCCTCCTGCGCCATGGCCACGAAAGAGTCCGTGAACCCCGTGAAGGACTGGATCGCACCTGCACAGGTGAGCCACAGGTGAGGGGTTACACCTGGGACAGGTGAGGGGTTACACCTGGGACAGGTGGGGATGGACAGGGGGGGATGGACACCAGCCCTCCTGCGCCATGGCCACGAAATAGTCCGTGAAACCGGCAAAGGACTGGATCGCACCTGCACAGGTGAGCCACAGGTGAGGGGTCACACCTGCACAGGTGAGGGGTTACACCTGGGACAGGGGGGGATGGACACCAGCCCTCCTGCGCCATGGCCACGAAGTAGTCCGTGAAACCGGCAAAGGACTGGATCGCACCTGCACAGGTGAGGGGTCACACCTGTGAGGGGTTACACCTGCACAGGTGAGGGGTTACACCTGGCACAGGTGAGGGACAGGTGAGGGGTCACACCTGTGAGCTGTGTGACTGCACACAGGTGAGGGGTTACACCTCCACAGGTGAGCGGTCACACCTGCACAGGTGAGGGGTCACACCTGTGAGGGGTTACACCTGCACAGGTGAGGGGTTACACCTCCACAGGTGAGCGGTCACACCTGCACAGGTGAGGGATGGACAGGTGAGGGATAGACAGGATCACACCTTCACACAGGTGAAGAGGGGACAGGTGTGGGATCACACCTGCGGACAGGTGAGGTCACAAGTGAGACCTCAGGTGTTTAAGCTCACAGGTAAGTCCAAATCCAGGTGTGCACACAGGTAACCTTGGATCCAGGTGTGTGAGCACACAGGTAACTCAAATCCAGATGTGTGAGCTCTCAGGTAACCCCAAACCCAGGTGTGTATCCACACAGGTAACTCCAGCCCAGGTGTGCACACAGGTAACCCTGGATCCAGGTGTGTACCCACACAGGTGACCCCAAACTCAGGTGTGTGAGCTCCCAGGTAAGCCCAGGCCAGGTGTGCACACAGGTAACCTTGGATCCAGGTGTGTATCCACACAGGTAACTCCAGCCCAGGTGTGCACACAGGTAACTCAAACCCAGGTGTGTGAGCACACAGGTAACCCCCGCCCAGGTGTGTGCCCGCCCAGGTGTCCCCGCGCAGGTGCGCACATAGGTGACACAAACCCAGGTGTGTGCCCGCCCAGGTAACCCCAAACCCCCGTGTGTGAGCACACAGGTAAACCCCAGCCCAGGTGTGTGCCCGCCCAGGTGCCCCGCCCAGGTGTGTGCCCGCCCAGGTGCCCCCAAACCCAGGTGTGTGCCCTCCCAGGTGCCCCCAAACCCAGGTGTGTGCCCTCCCAGGTGCCCCCAAACCCAGGTGTGTGCCCGCCCAGGTGACCCCAGCCCAGGTGTGCACACAGGTGACACAAACCCAGGTGTGTGCCCGCCCAGGTGCCCCGCCCAGGTGCGCACCCCTGGCCCCGCCCCTCACCTATCTGGAAGTAGGAGTAGGCGGCCAGGGGCTCGTTGACCAATCGGTCGCGCCGGGGGTTGCGCGGCCGCAGGTGCATGATGTCGCTCTCGGCGCGCTCGTAGGCCAGCGACACCGAGGGGAACTGCGCAGGTGGGCACAGGTGAGCACAGGTGAGAGCCACGCCCACCGCCCCGAACCCCGCCCCAGCTGGATAAAACACCTGGGACAGGTGGAAACTGGGGACTGAGGGGCTCAGGTGAGGCCCGGGTGAGGCCCAGGTGTGCCCAGGTGCCCCCAGGTGTGCCCAGGTGCCCCCAGGTGTGCCCCAGTGCCCCCAGGTGTGCCCACCCCTCAGTGCCCCCAGCCCCCCAGGTGTGCCCAGGTGCCCCAGGGGTGCCCCAGGTGTGCCCAGGTGCCCCAGGTGTGTGCCCAGGTGTGTGCCCATCTCTCCCCAGGTGCATTCCCAGGTGTGTCCCCAGGTGTGCCCAGGTGTGTGCCCAGGTGCCCCAGGTGCCCCCAGGTGTGTCCCCAGGTGCCCCCAGGTGTGCCCAGGTGTGTCCCCAGGTGTGTCCCCAGGTGTCCCCCAGGTGCTCAGGTGCCCCAGGTCTCCCCAGGTGTGCCCCAGCTCCCCCCAGGTGTGCCCAGGTGCCCCCAGGTGCCCCAGGTGTGTGCCCAGGTGTGTGCCCATCTCTCCCCAGGTGCATTCCCAGGTGTGTCCCCAGGTGTGTCCAGGTGTGTGCCCAGGTGCCCCAGGTGCCCCCAGGTGTGCCCAGGTGTGTGCCCAGGTGTGCCCAGGTGTTCCCCAGGTGTGCCCAGGTGTGCCCAGGTGTGTGCCCAGGTGTGCCCAGGTGTTCCCCAGGTGTGCCCAGGTGTGCCCAGGTGTGTGCCCAGGTGTGCCCAGGTGTTCCCCAGGTGTGCCCAGGTGTGCCCAGGTGTGTGCCCAGGTGTGCCCAGGTGTTCCCCAGGTGTGCCCAGGTGTGCCCAGGTGTGTGCCCAGGTGGGTCCCCAGGTGCCCCAGGTGCCCCCAGGTGCTCACGATGTCGGTGCAGAGCTCGATGAAGAGGATGGTGATGCAGCCCAGGGGGAGGGGCACGCTGGCCGTGATGTAGATCAGGTACGGCGTCAGCTCCGGAATGTTCTTGGTCAGCGTGTACGCGATCGACTTCTTCAGGTTGTCGAAAATCAGCCGGCCTGGCCCGACAGGTGAGGGGACAGGTGAGGGGACAGGTGAGGGGGGACAGGTGAGGGGGCACTGGTGAGAGGAGAGGATGGAAGGGATGGCT